GGCATTTTACATTAATCAAAGTAGAATCAGAGCAACGCAATCTATGAGGCCAATATTACCCTTATTCTAAAGTCCAACAAACACATCATAAGAAAAGAAATATACAGACCAATATTCCTAATGAATATAGATGCAAAAATCCTCAACTCAAAATACTAGCAAACAAAATCCAGAAAAGTATGAAATGGATTATACAGCATGACCAATGGTAATTTATCCCAGAAATGCAAAGTTGTTTTAACATATGAAAACCAATCAATAAAATTCATATGATTATCTCAGTAGCTGAAGAAAAAGCATTTGACAAAACTCAGTACACTTTTTTTAAATCCTCACCTGAAGATATTTTTAGAGAGAGTGGAAGAGAGAGGGAGAGGAGAGAGAAACATCAATGTGAGAGAGACCTATCAATTGGTTGCCTAACTCAGGAGTTTTGACCTGACCTGGCGATCAGGGGTGGGGATTGAACCTGCAACTGAGGTATGTGCCCTTGGCTGGCATCAAATCAAGGACCCTTCAGTCTGTGTGCAGAATCTCTATCTACTGAGCCAAACCAGCCAGGGCAGATAGAAACATTGATGATAGAGAAACATCAATTGGCTGCCTACTGCATGCCCTCTACTGGGGATCAAGCCTGCAACCCGGGTATATGCCTTGACTGGGAATAGAACCAGCAACCCCTTTGTGTATGGGACAATGCTCAATCTACTGAGCCATGCAGGCCTGACACTTTCATTATGAATACACATTAACACATTAAGAATGGATAGAAGGGAACATTCTCAATGTAATGAAAACCATCTATGTAAAAAAACATAGATGGTGAAAAACTGGGTGCTTTACCCCCCTAAGATCAGGGATAAAATAAGAATGTGTGCTTTCACAAGTTATATTCAATATTGCCCTGGAGGTTCTAGCCAGGGTAATTAGACAAGGAAAATAAACAAAAGAAACAAAAATTGGAAAGGAAGAAGTAAAATTATATCTATTCTCAGATGACATGATCTTGTATATAGAAAATCCTAAGTAATCCACTAAAAATCATTAAAATTAATAAATGAGTTCAGCTAGGTTGCAAGATACAAGGTCAAAATAAAAAAATCATTTGTATTTCTATACATTGACAATGATATCCAAAAATAAAATTATGAAAACAATTCCATTTATAATATTATCAAAAACAATAAAAATAATCAAGAATTTATTTTACAAAGCCACTAAGACTTGTATACTGATAACTATAAAATATCATCAAAATAAAATAAAGATGACCTAACTCGATGGAACATTATCTCATGTTCATGAACTGGAAAACTTAATATTGCTAAAGTAGCAATACTATCCAAACTAATCATTGGTTCAACACAATCTCTATCAAAATCCTAACTGGTTTTTGTGCAGAAATTGACAAGCTGAACCTCAAATTCACGTAGAAATGCAAGATTAGCCAAAATAGTCCTCGTGACCTTGGATTTGGCAATATATGCTGAGGTATGACACCAAAAGCACAAGCAACAAAAGAAAAAAATGAAACTGGATTTCATCAAAATTAAATAATTTTGTACTTCAACGGATATCATCAAAGAAGTGAAAATAAAAACAAAACAACAAGAAATCCTACTGCATGGGAGAACATATTTGCCAATGTTATCTCTGGGTTTAATAAGGGTTTAATCCCCAACATTTACAGGGAACTCATGCAAGTTAACAAAAGGAAGATAATCCAATCAAAAAATGGGCAAAGGACCTAAATAGACACTTTTCGAAAAAGGACATTCAGAAAGCCAAGAGACATATGAAAACATGCTCAAAGTCACTAATCATCTGAGAGATGCAAATCAAAACAACAATGAGATACCATCTCACACCTGTCAGAATGGCTATCATCAACAAATCAACAAACGACAAGTGCTGGAGAGGATGCGGAGAAAAGGGAACCCTCCTGCACTGCTGGTGGGAATGCAGACTGGTGCAGCTACTGTGGAAGACAGTATGGAGTTTTCTCAAAAAGTTAAAAATGAAACTGCCTTTTGACCCAGTGATCCCACTTCTAGGACTATATCCCAAGAAACCAGAAACACTAATCAGAAAAGATATATCCACCCCTATGTTCACAGAAGCACAATTCACCATAGCTAAGATTTGGAAACAGCCTAAGTGCCCATCAACAGATGAATGGATTAGAAAACTGTGGTACATCTACACAATGGAATGCTACACTGTGGTAAAAAAGAAGGAATTCTTACCATTTGCAATAGCATGAATGGAGCTAGAGAGCATTATGCTAAGTGAAATAAGCCAGTCAATGAACGAAAAATACCACATGATCTCAATCATTTGTGGATAATAAAGAACATTATAAACTGATAAAAATAAATACAGAGACAGAGCAGTATCGAACAGACTGTCAAACTACAGCGGGAAGGCTGGGGAGGGTGCGGGGAGCGGGTAGGAGATTAACTGAAGGACTTGTATGCATGCATATAAGCATAACCAATGGACACAAGATACTGGGGGGTGGTAGAGGCCGGGGGAAGGTCAAGGGGAAATAAAAGGAGACATATGTACTACTCTTTGTAATACTTTAAGCAATAAAAGAAAATAAAAAAGTGAAAATACAAACCACAGAATGGGGAAAATATTTTCATATTATATATCTGAAAAAGATCTAGTATCCAGAATACATAAAGAACTCTTACAACTCAACAAAAGAAAGCAAATAACCCAGTTAAAAAAATTAGCCAAATAATTTGAATAGACATTTCTCTAAAAAAGATAAGGAAATGGCCAATAAGTAAATACAAAGATGTTCAACATCATCAATAATAAGGAAAATGCAAATTAAAGTCACAATGAGCTACTAATTCACACTCATTAGGATAGATATAATTTAAAAAATGGAAAGTGAGTATTGGTGAAGATTTGGGGAAATTGGAACATTGGTACATTGTTGTTGGGTATGTAAAATGATGCAGTCACTTTGGAAAATAGCCTGGCAGTTCCTCAAAGTCTTAACCATTTGACCCAGCAATTCTGCACCTAGATACATACTCAACAAATTGAAAGTATATATGCCCCTGGCCACATAGCTCGGTTGGTTAGTGCATCATCCTGATACACCAAGTTTGCGGGTTTGATCCCTGGTCAGAACACATACAAGAATCAACCAAGGAATAAATAAACAAGTGGAACAACAAATTGATGTCTCTCTCTCCCTCAAGTCAATTTTTCAAACTATATATGCATACAAAAATGTGTACACAAATATTCATAGCAGTATTATTAATAATAGTGTAAATGTGGAAAACCCCATCTATCTACTGATGAGTAGACAAATAAAATGTGTTATAGCCATACAGTGAAATATTAGTCAGCCATGAAAAGCAAAACTACTGATACATGCTACAATGTGTATGAACTTTGAAAACATTATGCTAAGTAAAAGAAGCCAAACACAAAAAGCCACATATTATATGATTCCATTTATATGAAATGTCCAGAATAAGCAAATCTATATAGACAGTGGTTGCTGGGGGTTAGGCACAGGGGGGAATTGAGAGTGACTGCTAATGGGTAGGAGATTTCTTTTGGGGTCATAAAAATATTCTGAAATTGAATAGTGGTGGTGATTGCACAACCTTGTGAATATACTGAAAATCATTAATTATACACTCTAAAAAGAAAAATTTTATGGTATGGGAATTATATATCAACTAGAGGCCAGGTGTATGAAATTTGTACACGGGTTGGGTCCCTCTGCCTGGCCAGCAATTGGGGCCGATCAGGGCCATCTTGCCCAGTCCCAATCGGGACTGATCGGGGCAGTTGGCTGGGAGGGACCACAGGAGGGACCGAGGGAGCGGTCCAGGGCGTGCCTGGCTCCATCTTGCCCAGTCCCGATCGGACGGACCCCAGCAGCAAGCTAACCTACCGGTCGGAGCATCTGCCCCCTGGTGGTCAGTGCACATCATAGCAACCAGTTGGTTGACCTCTCAATCGGACACTTAGCATATTAGGCTTTTATATATATAGATTGTAACTCATGGTGCGGAGTTCTCGGCACACACTTTCCCTCCAGCCCCTGGTCTTGGAGACCTCATGCCCTTCCAAGGCTCTGCTCACCCTCTTCAGATGCCACACGAAGTAAATTGCATCGTGTGCGTGGAAACCCTTTGCAGGCTCCATGGGTGTGTCTTTACTTCACTGCAGTTCCAATTACCCCAACATAAGGAGAGACATCCTCATTATCAGGTAACACCATTGTGGTAAGACCCCTGCTCAGCCTACTGCAGCGGTTTTAAATAGGCCATGGGTCACCCTAGATATTTCCCTTCTTATTCTCTTCCATCATGGAAAGTTAGAAAAATATTTTTAAGTCTTCCGATTAGAGCCCAATCTATTCCTTATTCACAATAGTAAATCTAAGCCATTCTCATTGAGAGCTGGCAATCATAGAAGAGTCAAGAGCTATTTCTGTCACTCCTTCTAATACTTAACAGTTACTGCCAAAGTAACAATGTCTGTAACATGCCAGTAACAATTCCCAATATTCAACCTGGGTTCCTAATGCATGATGAAAACCAAATTAACCTTTGTTATATCCTCAGTGGAGAATAAGAAGAGATACTGTTGATTTGTCTTTGAAAAAAGTGCCTAGAACGATATATTAATAGGAAGTAGGATTTATTCAGAGGATGACAGATCATCAGTCTCCAAGCATTTGAAATCCCACTGTAGATAGGGTTGCCCCAAACTGGTAATAAGACTCTGGGTAAAATTATACAAAGGGTGTGGAGAGACATAGTCAAGGAAGTGGAATTTATGTCCACTCCTTGTGAGTTAGCAAGGCCAGATAATCTGGCCAAGCCACCACATCTCACAAGCTATCACAGTGAGAGAGACTCAGGCAAGCACCACTAGCAAGCAGAGGCCCATTCAAGATGTAAAGCACTTTGAAAAACAGATGAACCACCATTGCCATCCTGCCCAGGCCACCTTACCTAACTGAAATTGATTGGAGATATTCCCACATGTTTGCATTACTTCCGGGCTATTCCATCCTAAGGGGTATAATGCACAGCCTGAGCTTATCAGCAACCCTAGAAAGAAAAACATACACACAGGTAGAAAAAATAAAATAGGTCTTGTGTCACTCCAATATTCCCTCTAGATTTTCTCAGCTCAAATTCTGCATTTTCCACTCAGAGTTTACCTCTCCCCTTTTACCCTAAATGTCTATAACACTACCCAAATCAAAAGGGTATCTTTGCCATGCCATAAGTGGCGAGTTGTAGAGAGGACAACTTATAAAAGGCAGTATTGGGAATTGAGACAAGGCAATGTAATTTTTACAGCCGAAATATTTTTGACAATGATTTACAAAGCAAAGTTGGCCTCTCCTTCTATCTTGGTCAGATTTACAGAGTCACAATATAGAGACTAATACTGTTTCCTAAAAATTCAGCCTTTCCTAACAATAAATTAGGTCCCTAGGAGTTGAAGGTAGGTCATGATTTCTGTAACTTGGAACCAGCTGCCAGACTAGATCTACACTCTACACAAAGCATGCATGTTGCATAGGCTTCTCCTGGTGAGCAGGCACCACACTCCCTCTTCCAGAAACAATTACTTCATCTGAGAAATCATTCCAAATTCATGCTAAACATGCCTCCTTTCTTTTTTTTAAAAAAAATATATATTTTATTTGCATGCATACAAGTCCTTTGGTTGATCTCTTACCCCCACCCCCAACCCTCCCATGCCTTCCCACTGAAGTTTGACAGTCTGTTTAATGCTTCTTTGTGTCTGTATGTATTTTTGTTCATCAGTTTATAATGTTCATTATATTCCACAAATGAGTGAGATCATGTGATATTTATCTTTCTCTGACTGGCTTGTATGCATGCATATACAATAAGCATAATCAATGGACACAGACACTAGGGTGTGGGGGCCTGTGTTGGGCAGTGGGTGTGGCTGGGGGGAGGTCAATGGGTGAAAAGGGAGACATATGTAATACTATATGTAATATTTTAAACAATAAAATAAAACTTAAAAAATAAAAAATATAAAGTCAAATCTAAAGCTGAAAAAAACCTCCTCATGGTCAGTATATTAATTTGTAAGTATTAAACACTGAGCTTAACTGTTTATAAAAATTTGAGTGCCAAAAAGACCACTTCCGTATCTTACTCCTTTATTATTTTTGTATCTTTTTATGTATATTTTATTGAATTTATTGGGGATAGATAGATAGATAGATAGATAGATAGATAGATATCGATATAGATATAGATATAGATATAGATATAGATATAGATATAGATATAGATATAGATATAGATATAGATATAGATATAGATATATAACCTAAGCAACCAGCCAACTGGCTGACTGGCCGACCAGTAGCTATGATGTGCACTGTCTACCAGGGGGCAGACACTCAATGCAGGAGTGGAAACCACAGGCATAGAAACATGGAAAAACTGATGAATCTCAGAGGAAAGGGGTGAGGGGGGAGGGCAGGAAGGATTAACCAAAGATCTTATATGCATACTAGATGCCCGGTGCACAGATTCATGCACTGGTGGGGTCCCTCAGCCTGGCAATCCTGAACCCCTCAGGGGATGTCGGAGAGCCAATTTCAACCCAATCCCCGCAGGCCAGGCCGAGGGACCCCACCGGTGAATGATCATGCATTGGGCCTCTAGTTGGTTAATAAAATGATATAGGTTTCAAGTGTAATATATATATATATATATAATGTATATATATTATTGATTTTTACACAGAGGAAGGGAGAGGGCTAGAAAGTTAGAAGCATCAATGACAGAGAAACATGGATAAGCTGCCTCCTGTATGCCCTCTATTGGGGATCAAGCCCACAATCAAGGTACATGCCCTTGACTGGAATCGAACCTGGGACCCTTCAGTTGTAGGGCCTATGCTCTATCCACTGAGCCAAACTGGTTAGGGCTATGCCTCCTTTCTTTATCTTCCCATACCTTCCACTGTGTCCCTTGTCTTCATCTCCACTTTGTTTAGTTCATTTAGTCACTACAGGGAAACTTTGTGAGATCTTACTGATAACCTTACTCTTCCAACCAGAAATACCAATCTGATACTTGTGAGCACTGCCTTCTAAGTAAGGGTAAATGCAAAATCCACAGGTCTTGCTGCTGCCTAGGTTTACATTTTATAACCTCTGACCTCCCCATACCATGCCTGTGGTGACAGTGAACTGGATCTAGTATTGGCATCTGATACAAAACAATAAAATTTATTAGCTGGCCAGTAATCAGTGACATCATAACCTGGCATGTAGACATGATCTGGACCAGGCTCTTGTTTCTGAAAGTTTTAATCAAGAAACATAGAAATGCTATATTAAAGAAGAAGAAGAAGAAGAAGAAGAAGAAGAAGAAGAAGAAGAAGAAGAAGAAGAAGAAGAAGAAGGAAGAAGGAGGAGGAGAGGAGGGAGGAGGAGGAGGAGGAGGAGGAGGAGGAGGAGGAGAGGAGGAGGAGGGGAGGAGGAGGAGAGGGAGAAGGAGAGAAGACAGAAGAAGAAGAGAAGAAGAAGAAGAAGAAGAAGAAGCGAGAAGAAGAAGAAGAAGGAGAAGGACAGTGGAGGAGGAGGAGGAGCAGGAGAAGCAGGAGGAGGAGGAGGAGGAGGAGGAGGAGGAGGAGGAGAAATGCTAAGTTAGTTAACAGATACAGAAGAAGTTGAGAAAAAGATACTAGGAGGTAGAATCAAGTCTGTGTCAAGCTGAAGCCAAGTTCAATCTAAAGTTATGAGTAGATATAACATCTTGGCAATCTGAGAAAACTGATTGCAGTAGCACTTTCCAGTGATTCCCAATGGCTTTTGAGTTCAAATTTCCTTATGTTATAATAAATTCCCTTTTCAGTGAGAGATCTCAAGTGAGTATCCTACTTTCACCCAAGAGAGCATGATACTTGAGTGCTACCCCAAAGGTCATGGAGTGGTCACCTGCCACAAATATGGATGCAGAAACTAACATTTAACATAGAACCTCTGGAAAGCAGGTATCTGATTAATGATGAATGATTGGCTGGGCAGGCGCAGCTCAGTGACTGAGCATTGACCTATGAAAAAGGAGGTCACCTTTTGATTCCAGGTCCAGGGCACATGCCCAAGTTGCAGACTCGATTCTTAGCGGGGGGCGTGCAGGAGGCAGCTGATCAATGATTCTCTCTCATCACTGATGTTTCTATCTCTCTCTCTCCCTTCCTCTCTGAAATCAATAAAAAATCTTATATAATAAAAGACTAATATGCAAATTGACCAAACGATGGAATGACCGGTCACTATGATGCGCACTGACCACCAGGGGGCAGACGTTTAATGCAGAAGCTGCCCCCTGGTGGTCAGTGTGCTCCCACAGGGGGAGTGCTGCTCAGCCAGAAGCCAGGCTCATGGCTGGCGAGTGCAGCGGTGGGCCTAAGAGGTGAGTCAGACATCCCCTGAGGGCTCCCAGACTGCAAGAGGGCTCAGGCTGGGCTGAGGGACCCCACTTGAGTGCACGAATTTTGTGCACCAGGCCTCTAGTATATTTATAAATAAATAAATAAATAAATAAATGAATAAATGAATAAATGAATAAATGAATGAATAACATGTAATTTGGGGGCCTCATCCACAGGTATTTGATTCAGTAACTGCAGCTCAGGAATATACATTTCAAAAGTACCCTAGTAATCTGGTGTTGTTGCTTGGTGGTTAGAGCATCAGCCCACTCACCAAAGGGTCCCAGGTTCAATTCCCTGCCCCAGTTGGGGGCGCATGTGGGAGGCAAGCAATTAATGTGTCACTCTCACATTGATGGTTCTCTCTCTCTCCCTCCACCTTCCATCCCTCCTTCCATTCTCTCTAAATAAAACCAATGAAAAAATATCCTTGGGTGAGAATTAACAAGAACAACCAAAAAAGAAAATGACCACTACAAATATTAGAAGTATGGGGGTCTGGTGGCAAAGAAGTTGAAATCCTGGCTCCCACTTCTCTGTGTTCCATTGCTCATCCCCAGTTGTACTGCCCTTTGAACCATGTATGCCCTTTGGAGAAGTCTGTCTCAACTGATTATGCTCATCTGGCTACTTCTCTATAGGAGGGGAGAGAAAACCCTTTAGAATATGTTACCTTCTTCACTCCCCTACTGCACATGTGCAGCTTACCATTTTGTTTCCCTTCCTCAACTTCTCCCTTCACAAGAATCTACTTGCACAAAATATACCAAATGCTCTCCCCAGACATAATTGCTATAGTTTGAATTCACTTCTTTGACCAAGCAGAAGCCCAGAGTTGGATACTTTACTCAGCTTTGGGCCTTGTGGCAACCTCAACACCAATACAAACCCTCAGGCGCACAATCTCAAACAGATCTTGGAACCCTACCTGCAGCTACATCCCTGCTGCCCTCAAGGTTCCCTGCAGCCAGAATCACTACTTCCCCATATTGCAGCATCTATGTAACCCCTTCCCAGTTGCACATTCTCAATTAGACAAATGCCTAAATTTGGTCTCTGGCCAGGGAAAGCCTCCTCACTGGGTGTAACCATCCCCATTCACAAGAGTAACTTTTGAGAGTGCAGTGATTTTGTTACTTACCCGACCCAATCCATAAATACTTGTCCAAATATGGTTATTAGTACTTTGAATTTACTACCCTGAGCAGAAGCCTAGTATGAGTTAGTTTGCTATTAATTTGCTCAATTTATTGCTCTTGTAGCAACTTCAACTCAAACACAGTGGAAAATTTATATCTACCCTCCAGCTATATCTCAGCTTTCCCTTTCCTGGGAACTCCCCCACTCAGGTCTTCCATTCTTTTGACCTAATATTTTCAGTCAGAGTTATAAGACATTGCAGTGATGCTAGAGATTTCTAAAGTAGATCAGTGGAGGCTTCACAGCAAAGATGAATTTGACTTTGCCTTTGGGAGATAGAGGGATATTTATGTACAAGCAGGCATAGAAGAAAAGGGAACTCCATTTTAAAAGCAATATTAAAACAAAACTTAGCAGAGGTTCTCAACTTTTTATGTGTACTGGAATCTGCTGGAGAATCATAAATAACAAATCCAAGACAGTAGTTACCTTTGCTGTGGGGACAAGGGACTATGATGACGATAGGAAGGAGACTTCAACTGTATTGGTAAAACTCTATTTCTTCCGCTGAGTGGTACATACATCAGAAATATTTCCTACTATCACTTCAAAAATAAATCAGCATGAGAGGTTGTATAAAACGCAGGGTGCCCGGCATCAGTTCTGATTCAGTGGTCTTAGAATGGCCCTACGCAAGCTGCATTAACAAGCACCCCAGGTAATACTTAGACAAGTGCTTCATGGACCACTCTGCAAAGCACTGTGATAGCATTTTTTTCTCCAAAGGGAAAAAGAAAAATCAGTAGCACTGGTGCATAAAGCCCAGAGCTGAGCATCAGAATCCCTGAACCATATTCTCTGCCCTGCTTCAATTTGTACCTGAGTCTTTGCTAGCAGGTTAACTTCTTTGAAAACATTTTCCCAAACATAAAGCCACTTTTATAATCCTTGTTCAGCCTGGTAAGGATAAGTTAAATAATTTCTGGTGAAACTTCGGAGGACTTTCCAGGAAATGGTTTTTAGAAAAATAGCGCCCTTTCCTCGAATCAAGTTCTCAGTGATCTGTTTCCAGTGGCAATTTTCATCTGGCCTGAAGCATGTAGCACAGAATAAAACACGGGTGCTGGTCTGAGTGTATTAAATTGTATAAATAATCTCCAGGGTGGTGGTTCTTACTTGGGTTGGGGAAAGGGAACACAGAATATACATCAGAGTCACTAGGGAGATTTTTCAAAATATGCCTTCCACCTTTTGCTGTGGATATCAGAATGGGAAAGTGTGAAATCCACATCATTTAAGCACCCCAGGTGATTCTGATACATTCTCTACTCTAGAAAGATTCTTGGCCTCCCTCAAGCAACCCGATCCAAGATCTTACACTTTGTCCTGCCAAGAAGTTCCTTATATTTACTTCTCACTTATTTCTTCTTTGTTTAGCTCTCACTGAAGATAAAGGATAATTCACAAGTATCTTGTGTATACATCCACAGGGGAATGTGAATAATGACCCTGTTCTCAGAGGCTGGGGGCCAGCTGGTTGGAAACCTCAGCATCCCCAGGGCTGAAATAATCTCCTGACCAGATGTTTCCTTCACCGGTTGGAGCAGGGCATGAAGGTCCCAGTGGAAGGCTCTCTGGACCCCAGGCTTGTCCAGCTGGATCAGCTGCAGGTGGAGTTAAATGGGCCCCAAGGGCCCCATCAGGTCACCTTGCTGAGCATGACTCAGTCAAGCAGATCTTTATTTCTTCCTGTCTCTCCCACTTCCCACCGCTCATCTCTGTGGGAAGCCGCCAAACTGGGGAATAAGAGTCAAGCAGGGGGAGGAGATAGTTCTTAATGGATACTCCATCTCTTCAGTGGTTTGGGGTCTGGCAGAGATAAACCAGACCTGAAACAAATTGGCTCCTCCCCCTAATGTATTTCGGTTAATGCACTAGCTGCCGAGAATCAGCCAGGCCTGGAGCAACAAAATCAATTCCCCTCAGTTGAACAACAAGTTTAAACTAAATCCCCCGCAGCTCTTTCTCTTGAGTCAGGCTTGGCTGTCTGCCACTAGTAGAGCCCATCTTTGAGGAGTCAGACCTGAGATCTCTAAAGAGCCTTAGGTAATAGTCATGTGCCAAAGGACTCCTAGAAAATATGATATATCCAAGCAGTTTTCACCATTCCTTCACATCTGATGCCACCTTAACAGGCATAAGTTTCTAAAATGTAGGTGGTAATGACTATTAGTTGGTTGGTGTTACAGATATGGAAACTGGAAAATTAGTTATCTGTCCAATATCATTCCCTTGTCCAATATCATTCATTCCCTTGTCCAATATAAGGGATAAACCTTATAGCACACCTTGAGTCTTGACTCTTTCCATGACTACTGTCAAATGGCATTTTATTCTTAAATTTTAAAGACCCTCATCTCAGTGTAAATACTGTGACCATGCTCATATGAGCACGGGTCAATGAGGAATATAGAATGGCAGAATCATATGGGATGAAAAGGGCACTATTTTGACTCCCCCTATATGCACTTAGCCAAAGTTCTTCCCCACTCAGTCCATGAGTGTCTAAATCTCTATTTTACCTACCCACATGTCCCCTCAACAATTTCCTTTGAGTTTCTAGACCTAGGAAGTGGGCCCAACTAAAATATGTCACATATAGAACCATAAGGGTTTTGTAAACATCTCAGCCAAGCCCAAGATAGGATTCAAGCTTGGAGTAGGAGCCATTGTTAATTCTTGGAGTCTGATGGAGGTTATTGCTACTGAAGTTCTGATTCCTACAAGTTAATACTTCCTCAGCCTCTGCCAGAAATTCTTAGAAATGCAAGTGAGGCTAACTTGTCACTCTCAGGTCAGAAGAGAACTCAGAAAGTTAACACCCTTGATGGAAGCCTGGAAAAAAGGAAAGGATGTGAATGAACCCAGCTCTCATTTGTCCATTTTATTCCAACAGTCACTAGACATTGCTTTAGCATGTGTTCATTCTTTCTACAGTTCTTAAAAACCTTCTCTGTGCTTGGCGCTGAGGTTGGTCCTAGAGCTATAAATATGAGTTTCAAGGACCACCCCTTACTCTTGACAGGTAAGTGAAAGGTGAACCTGCTTAAGGTTTATTTGTGATATCCAGGGAGCCCCTAAAGGGGATTAATTAAGTCATTGGCTTAGACTAGCTTTAGTAATTAGTTCTATACCATGGTTTTCAAGGGGAAGAAATAAACAATCTAATGAATTGCCAGTGTGGCCAGAAAACCATTAATAGCTATGAGTAAACAAATTCAGAGATAGGGGAGACTAGAATGTTAATTCAAATTTCAAACTTTTGCAATGAGTCTGAGTAAAGAGAGAACCTGAAAACATCACCTTAACTGTGATTCAGCAAAAAGAATCTGGTGCTTTTCATAAGCCGGTCAGGAAACCATGATACCTTAGCTCAGGGTTTCTCAACCTAGGCATTATTGACATTTTAAGCCAGTTACTTCTTTGTTGCTGGAAATGGGGAGCTGTTTTATTCTTGTCCACTGTGGGGTATGTAACAGCATTCTTAGCCTTTACCTATTAGACGTCAGTAGCACCCTCTTCAAATTGTGATTACCAAAAATGTCTCAAAAATATTATTAGGTGTCTCAGGGAAAGGAGGTAAAAAAAAAAAATCAGCCCCAGTTGCGAATCACTGACTTAGATTATCACTACCATCTCATTCCAAGACCACCTGAACAAGTAATTGGAAAAAAAAGGAAGAAAATTGGGATCTGGGCTATCTTGCCAGTGAACAAATTCAAGGAAAGAAAGGAAGTGAACACAGGAGAGGTCACTGTCATTTGCCCATGGTCACAGGGCAATTTAGTGGAAGAGCCAGAAGTGAGATCCAAATTTCTTGGCTACAGTCGCTCACACTGTGTTGCTAATGGAGATGAGAATGATAACGAATTAAATAATGATTTCAAAACTTGATGAAAAACAACCCACTTCAACAATAGCTCCTATCAGCACTTTTTCCCAGTGCCTCAACCAGGTGTAAAACATAGCTCACATATTCATACATATATTTGCCTGTCTGTGTAAAATTGCTTTTTCACCTTATACAATTCAAATTAAGTTTCTCCCACTGCCTTCCTGCAGGTTGCCATTTGGTATTTGGTCTTTCCTAGCCCGTTCATACAATTCCAACATCCGTGGTTTACCAGCACTAATTTAGAGGGAGTTTGAATGAGGGAAAAGATAAATAGTATAAGACAGGGCCATAAAAAATCTAGATTGACTGTTAATGGCTACCAGACAGGGATAGCCTTATATGTGGGCCAAATAAGCATTTATCTACAGTCTGTTTGGTACCTAGCATTTCACTATTAGATGTATTTCTTTGTTGAGGACTTTACATTAAACTCTTATTTGTAATTAGCACTTGTGTGTAGGTGTTTATTAGATCACTGTTCTCTGATATCAGGGCTATTAAAAATCAAGTGTATTTTGAAGCAGTAATACTAGAATATATGTTGCTGCCCCTGGAAAGTAGACCTGGATAATATTCTTAAGTGGACACCCTGCAGGCAGAAGAAGGTAATAAAAATGGAGGCTAAAAAACACATATCAACTGCCTACTAACCAATTTCACTGTGAATAAAACCCTCATGTACTAGTAGATTACACTTTAGAGCAGCAGTTCTCAACCTGTGGGTCGTGGCCCCTTTGGGGGTCGAACGACCCTTTCACAGGGGTCGCCTAAGACCATTGGAAAACACATATATAATTACATATTGTTTTTGTGATTAATCACTATGCTTTAATTATGTTCAGTTTGTAACAATGAAATTGGGGGTCACGACAACATGAGGAACTGTATTAAAGGGTCACGGCATTAAGAAGGTTGAGAACCACTGCTTTAGAGGGTCCTAGAGTATTTTAAATGATTCCTTTTTTGTAGCTTTAGAGATGGAAATAGAGGAGGTAACATTTTTCATTCCCTTTTCTCCCTGCCCCCACAATGACCCCCCAACCTACCCAATCCCAGCAACACTGTCTTACCTCCCACGAACTGTGCTGCTCCCATGCAACGTCCCATCATTCTGGAGATAAGCTCCTCCATGCAGCAGCCCAGGACTGCAGTCATGGCCACCAGGAGCAGGAGAGCACAGCCAACACCTGTCACCACTGTGCACATCTGCCAGGCAAGGCTTGGGATGGCACTGAAGCTGGCATAGCGCCCACATTCTTCCACCATGATCAGACTGTGCCCCTCTCCCCGCACAGGGTAGTTGCACCTCCGGAATGTGCTGAATGACACTGGCTTCCCCAGCTGGGATCCAAAGAGCCAGTATGGCAGGAAGTAACTGGTAGAACTGGCCATAGCGGTAACAAGGGACAGGAAGGCCCAGAGGGTCCCCACCAGTGTCAGGCTGCTCCTCATGGTCCCAGGTTTCTCTGCGGGTATGGGGAGATGAGTTAGTTTTGGGTCACAGAATCAAATACAGAAAGTTATCATGTAGGCTCCATCAGTCTATTTTTCATCTGGCTGGCCAGTCCTATGGCTCATTTATGTGTCACTTGGCTCTTGCTTTTGGATAAAATTATTCTCTCGAGGACCATTTGGGTCCTTATGGGCTTCTGCTTTCCAGCACTTTTTCCATCATTCCTTCCTTCCACCTGATTTAGAGTTCTGTGGTCTCTAGGCTACAATGAAAAAAGACATAGAACTGAATTAGTGACTTTTCTGCCAATTCAAATGCAGCCTGATCTGACATCTTTTAGCTCTTGACATCCAGCATGAAACGAGTGGCCAGAGGGGAGCCTAAATGAAACCCAGGCTTCCCCAAGAGACTCCAGCTTCCAGTTGAATGACCTTTCTGGCTTGGAAGCCTGAAAGGCGGTGATATCTCAAGAGGGTCAGAAACCAAGTTGTTTTTAGTGAGAGAAGGACGAAGGAAAACAACTCACAGAGCCTGCTCTTAATACAAGGGAGAAGAGGGAAGAAAAGCTCACCATGGAGTTGCAGGATGTGTCCACTTGATCTAGGTAGAATGTCCAATAGTGCGATTATGTTGGCTTTTCACAAGGATGCATCAGCCAGGTTGAAATGGGTAGAATAAAATAAAGGATGCCTAATCACACACTCTATGCTTATCACTGAGTAATACCATTCAGTCATTTTGTCCCAAAATCAAAATGTGAGGCAACTTTCTAACCATTGAGGGCTGTTTAACTCTAGACTGATTATAAGAAAAGCTACCTCTTCCTTTCCTTAATATAACCAAGGAAGCTTCTCATCTTTTATCAGGTGTCCCCTGCCCTGCAGCAAGAAGATGTAGTTACAGGGACCTTTCAAGGTGTCTTTGGAACAACTTATCTCAGATCCAAGGTGCTAAGAGTCTTTTTAGATCTAATCTCCTCAGCCCAGCTCACAAATGGCTTTCACAGACCCATCTGTCAAACATCAACCACTTTCCTCCCAATTCCATTAATCTGTCATTGCTTACTGGCCTGTTTCTCAATTAGGGCAGCCAGAGACCACACTAGATCTTGATGACAGCACTGTGAATGTCTCCATCAGGTAAATGGTGGAGTATGTTTCAGAAGTTCCTCCATGTTTCATCATTACTGGTTAAAGTTAGAGGTGGTGGAAGAGGGGTTCAAGGGTGGAAGACCCAAGGCAAGAAAAGTATAGGAACTGGCCTACGGGTCCAATCTGTGACAGTGAGGAGCAAGCAGCAATTGTACTCAGGGTCTCAGGACTGTTCCCAGTCATAATTTCAACTACCATCATATAGTGCCTGACACAGAGTAGGCACTCCAAGTAATGTTTATTTAATGAAACTCATTTCATAAAAGCATCCAATTTCCAGTTTGGCTGGGACCTTAATGAATCACCTAATTCAACCTTCTTGTTTTACATATGAAGGATTATGGCCCAGTAAAGGGGGAAATGATTTCTCCCAGGTCACAGAGTAAGTAGGCAAGCAATAACGCCAGAATAAGAAACCTGATCTGCAAATTTCTGGGCCAGTACTTTTCTACACACACACACACACCCCCATCACTTACAGATGGAATCACAGAAAGGAAGTGATTTACCCAAGGGTAAAGGGCTAGTGAGATACACAGGCCAGACCACAGCCCAGTTATTTGAGTCTTAGTATAATGTTCTATTTTCACTCCACTGCAATTCCTCTCCTGATACATGTGTGTTGTGTGCTATGTGTTTTGTGCTGCAAGGGAACAGAGATCATAAATTGCAGGTGCTTAGTTTGGAATGTTAGGGCTTGGGAAGAAAGTGCCCTGAGCTGGGCCCCTGGGAATAAGGCTTTGTGCCTGAGAATGGGGGAGGGGGGACACAGGGAATGAGAGAAAGATGTGATGAGGGATGGAAAGTCAACAGGAGGAGAAGTGAAACTCGTTATGAGTAATTACTGCTAGAAAGCAAGTATGCTTGGCCACAATGAGGTCATGCCTCTGCTTGTTATAGTAGAGTTGGTAAGATTATGAAAAATGCAAGCAGCCCTCTGCTGTGGACTCACTTCCTGGTGAAAAAGCCCAGGCCAGAGAATGAGAGGAAACAAGCTGATAAACATCTGCGGCTGCATCATCACAGTCCCTTCCAAGTCCATTATTTCATTCGCTCTGTCCAACAATCTCCTTAGGTTGGTAAGAAAGGTATTAACCCCAATTTACAAATGATCAAATTGAGGATCAGAAAGCTAAGAAACCTTCCTCCATATTCTCTCTCATGACCCCAAAAGTATTACAATTAAACGCTTCTATGATCTCTCATACAGAATGTCAAGAAAAAAAAATGCTTAAGGGTGGGAAAAAATTAGAGGGGAAGACAGAGATGGTAAGAAATAGGAAGGCCACTCTCTCTAAGCAGTGTATAAAGCAACAGAACAAGAACATAAGTTGTTTCAAGCTCAGAAATTGTAGTCAGAACTAACCACGTATGTCCTCCATGACTGTCATCACCTGAAGACCAAAAGTCCCAGTATGACAACCAATAGAAGGGCAGAGAACTCAAGGAAGAGAAAGGAACTATATCAGTGAGTAGTACTTATACTATACTAGAAATAAAAGGAGGGGTTCTGACATAAGCTTATGTCATCTGTGACAAATCAAGCTGTTTAAAAGACTACAATACTATTGATACTTTATGGTATAAAGAAGATGCACACACACACACATATATACAATGAAATATTATTCAGCAGTAAAAAAAAGAAGGAAATCTTGCCATTTGCAACAACATGCACAGACCTTGAGGGTATTATGCTAAGTGAAGTAAGTCAGACAGAGAAAGACAAATACTATATGATTTTACTTATAAAGGGTGTCCCAAAATTCACGCAAGAAATAATTTTGATAGAAAACACAGGTTTATAATTAAAAATTGTACATTTTTTAATTGATTCATAAAGTATACAGTATAGGGCAGTGATGGCGAACCTCTGACACGCGTCTCAGAGGTGACATGTGAACTCATTTTTTTGGTTGATTTTTCTTTGTTAAATGGCATTTAAATATGTAAAATAAATATCAAAAATATAAGTCTTTGTTTTACTATGGTTGCAAATATCAAAAAATTTCTATATGTGACACAGCACCAGAGTTAAGTTAGGGTTTTTCAAAATGCTGACACACCGAGCTCAAAAGGTTCACCATCACTGGTATAAGGTTATGTATGGAATAGCATATCAGGTAAATGGATTATCATGTCATGATAGCAAGCACCATTAACTGTTATTGCTTCAGCAGCTGCATTTTCAAAGAAGAATGGTCCGATGATGCCTCCAGCCCAAAATCCACACCAAACAGTGACACGTTGTGGATGCAGTTGTTTCTCAACAATCACTCATGGATTTTCTGAACCCCAAATGAGACAATTTTGTCGATTAATCAAGCCATCAAGATGAAAATGAGCCTCATCGCTGAAGATGATTTTGTTTGAAAAATCAGCATTCACTTGTTGTTGTTCCATAATCCATTTGCGTATGTCCCAGCAAAGCCATGGAGGCCATTTACCCGATATCCTATTCCATACATAACCCTATACTGTATACTTTATGAATCAATAAAAAATTTACAATTTTTAATTATAAACCTGTGTTTTCTATCAAAATTACTTCTTGTGTGAATTTTGGGACACCCTTTATGTACTTGAAAAATGAAAAAGCAAACCAAGACAGAACCAGACTCATAGATATAGAGAAAAAAGCGATGGTTGCCACATGAGTGGGGGTGGGAAGATGGGTGAAATAGGTGAATGGAAATAAGAAGTACAAATTTCAGTTATAAAATAAGTCATGAGGATGCAATGTACAGCATAGTTAATATAGTCAATAATATCACAATAAGTGTGTACAGTGACAGATGGTTACTAGACATATTGTGGTGATTACTTTATAAGACATATAAATGTAGAGTCACTATGTTGTACACCTGAAACTAATATCATATTGTATATCAAAATACTTTAATAAAAATATTAGAACACTACCAACCACTGTCACCATAAGTTTATTTTTTAAATGGTATTTTAAACCAAGATTTGGGAAGGCAGGATCACAAAATTCAGTTTAAATTAAATATATTTAGTTTTAGAAAAACTTATTGGCTCTCAAAATTTAAATTAAGTATGTTCAACATTAGGAAAAACTCATTGTCCTTATTTCATTTAGGACTAGGATGACCAACCATTCCAGTTTGCCTGGGACTAAGGAGTTTCCTGGGATATGGGACTTTCAGTGATAAAACTAGGAATGTCCCAAACTTGGATGTCCCTCTAGGACTAGAGGGGTGGTGAACCAGCACCGCCCAGGGATAGCACGTTGAAAATCACTGTCACACTTGATTTGCCAATGTTCTCTCTGCAGGATACAAGCAATACTAGTAAGAGTTAAAAGTGATCACAGAATTAAACAATGGAGGGATAAAGCCTATATATTTTGAATGTAAACCTTTGTGAATCATAGACTTGACCTTATGCAGTCAAGAAAGAGATCTCAGAGATCCAATGGCTCAGTGTTTTCTGAACACAAAATAAGCCCCAGCCCAGCTTCTTCTATGGCTGGATAGAGAAGCAACGGGCTGTGTGGAGTCTGTGCATGCTCATTGATACCTGTGTCAGATAGAAAAGTGCATTCAAGTAAATGCTTTTAGTTTCTGCATAATCTGCAATGGAGTAACTTCCCTTTGTCCCTCCAAAGCAAGCCAAGTTTATTCACAGGAACTAGCTAAGTCTTTGCTCTCACATAAATAAAAATCATCCTGGCTGGTGTTGCTCAGTGGCTAGAGCCTTGGCCTATGCACTGAAGGGTCTCAGGTTTGATTCCCAGTCAGGAGCATGTACTGGGTTGCAGATTCTATCTCAGGCCCCAGTTGGGGTGCATGGGGGAGGCAACCAATTGATCTGTCTCTCTCACATCAGTGTTTCTCTGTCTCTCTCTATCTCCCTTCCACCCTCCTTACCACTCTCTCTAAAAATCAATGGGGAAAATATCCCAGGAGAGGATTAACCAAAAAAATAATTTAAAAAATCACAAATAATTATATGCTTCTTTTTTTTTTAATATATTTTATTGATTTTTTACAGAGAGGAAGGGAGAGGGATAGAGAGTTAGAAACATCGATGGTAGAGAAACATCGATCAGCTGCCTCCTGCACACCCCCTACTGGGGATGTGCCCG